GGTTACCATGATATTGATAAAAAAGTTACCGGAGGTATATTTCATCAACAACCCTTCCCCACCCCTCACCATCGTCGCCAAAGTTATCAGGACTGGGGCACATAAGTTCTCAGGTCTGCAATGTGTGAATTATCATGTTATTCACACAAAAATTTACTAAAATGTATATTTCATCAACCACCGTCCCCCCACCGAGTCACCAAATTTACCAAAAGACTGGGGTGCATTAGTTACCAGGTCTACGAGGTGTGAGTTACCGAGCAATTCACATAAAAGTTATCGAGGGTATATTTCATCATCCCTCCCCCACGAAAAGTACCAGGACCGGGGGGCATAAGTTATCGGGTCTCCGATGTGTGAGTTACCATGCTATTCACACGGAAGTTGTCGAGGGATACTTGATCATCCCTCCCCCCTCCCCCCGACAAATTTATCAAGACCAGGGTACATAAAATTATCAGGTCTGTGATGTGTGAGTTATCGGGGTGTTTGTATGTAAGTTATCAGGTTCGCGGTGCGTTAGTGACCACGTTATTCACACAACATTATTGCGGGATGTTTCAACAAAAAATTGAGGTCAAAAGAATCACGTTAGTGGGGAAATCATTGACCGGACCACTATTTTTTAATGTTCAAATTCGTATTAACCAAGAACAAATATCATGTAAACTTGTTTCAAAAACAGCAAGTCTGAAGCCGGGCTAGTGGTTTGTGTCGTAGAAATTACTACTTGAGGAACAGGGTTCGATTCTTATCCAACACAGGAAACTATCAATTTTTTTGAAACGTGGGCAAGGATGCGATCGGTAAATGATCCTCTTAATTTAGGAACATGGGCCGATGGGATGTGATGATGCGAGGAAAAAAAGTAGTGGGAACGGGCCTGCGTCGGGGAAAAAAGGAAGAGGGAACGGGCCAGTGTCGGGATATACGTGGGTTGTGCGGGCGATCCGGACGGGCTGCTTGGGGTCGTGCGATCCACAACGAGCAACGATCAGGTCGTACAGATCTATCGCTAACTTCCAGTCGAGGTTTAGGAATTGGCGCAAGTACTACACCACGCAACAATTCTTCAAAAAAAATTCATGTCCCTCGTCATAAATCTTGAGTCTGGAGTTTGACTCTAGCTCCCAGCAAAAAAATTCTGAAATTAGCACGGCTCTTATTTTGATGCTATGAGGTATAAAAGGTTAAGTTCTCATGTTTTCCACTTTCAACAACTAAGAGGCTGTAGCTTGTTGGTCGAAGGGAGCATGTGGAGCCTGTGCGTCCTGGGCCCGATTCCCATCGGGCGCTTTATTTTTCTTCCTCGAAAAAAAAATAGCTAGCGATATATCCAGTGTGGGAGATCGAACGTGGATCGTGCGTCAGGCGAATTGTGCGTGCCTGTCGCTAATGACCAGTCGGCAGGTATTTAGCTTTGTCGTTTTTAAAAAGCTAGTGATTTCGCTAATTTCTGCGCGAGTTGAACGGTGAAGACTTTTTTTAGACAAGACGGTGAAAAGAAGACATAAAAGGCCCGAAGGCCTTGGTTGCGTCGTGCGCGCTACGCGACTCAAATAACTCGCAAAGGCCCATAAAGCCCATGGCTGAAGCAAGCATCCTTTCATTGGCCCGACAGTACAACCACTCCTACTTCGTGAGCCCACCGGCGGCGCCTCTCCTGCAGCCGGCAGCCACGAGACAACGGAAGGGGCCAGCCATGGCGACGGCGGAGAACAAGAGGCCTCGGAGCAGCGGCGGCGTGGAGAGGCCGCCGAGTAGGAAGGAGGTACTCATACATCTCCCCTTCCCCTCCTCCTCTTGCATCCCCGATCCCCTTTCCGCTCCCTGCGGCCAATTTCATTGCAAAAATCTATTGTATGCTGACATTTGTTTAATCCCGGCATTCGAGATTGGCGAGTAGGATGGAGCTGGCTGAGGCCGTAGCGCGAAGTTCAGCACACCCATTATCCATGTGTTGATTCCGCGGAAACATGTTGAAAGTTGCATCACCTACACCTAGATTTTTTTTTTTTACTTTTCAGCAACACAGGGATTCAGTGAACACCTGGTGACTCTGGTCCCTGAATCCAGCTGTTTTTGTGATAAATAGCAACCATGCCATGAATCAGCATTGCTGGAGAACTGATGGAGGTTATATGTATACTGGGAGCTCATGCAGATATCATGCTTTTGGATAGATATTGGGGAGGAAGAAGGCCATCAAAGAACTTATAAGGAGAGCTGTAGCTGTGAAGGACCATCTTGCGCAATTCCCGGATTTTCATAAATACGAGAGAAGTGGTAACCTACATTTGTCTCTCTGGTGAAAATTTTCTGTGCTGTAGGACAAGTAGCTACTAATGTACCATTTGGGTTCAGGACACCTACTGTGTGTTTCCTGGATTCAGCTTTAGAAATTCAACAAAAGAAAATTGAATGCATCATTAGGCCTTAGCAATTGTATTCGAGACAACACTTCTTGCTTTGGGCCAAGCATTGTCTTTTTCTGGAGGAGAACTGCACTATAGCAGGCTGAACTCGTATTTCTTATATTTAGGTTTTTCGATCTACTTGGAGTCTGGGCATGGCAATCAGCTTCCAGTGCCAACGAGGAAGTACATCCAAAATCTTCTCAAGGTTGAATACCTTACCTGCCTACTGCTTTAGGATGTTTGTGTATGTACCTTTTTACAAGTAACCCATGATTATTGAATGTAACACTGGTAAACAATAATTTAGGCTAACATGAAGGGAACTTATGGATCAGAATGGACTTCAGAAGAGAAAATTAAGCGCCGGGAAATGGTTGCTCCAGAAGCACGATATATCCTGATCTGCCAATATGCAGACAGTGATATTGCCAAATGTTTCATGAAGCAAGATTCAGGGGTGGAATGTGCACATGTGACATGCCGTGGAGGCCGCTTGCTTGGTTTTGTACACTACAGATTTGTTGTTGAAGAGGATGTTCCTGTTCTTTATGTGTATGAGCTACAATTGGAGTCTTCTGTCCAAGGGAAGGGGCTGGGGAAGTTCCTAATGCAGTTGATTGAACTTATAGCTTGCAAGGTGATCTGATTTTTTGAAGTTCCTGATAGTTTATTGTTCTGTTCTTCAGAATATTATGTCAAGACATAGAGTGTCATGGTGTGGTCTGTGTCTTCTGGTTAATGCATTTTTTTTTGTTCCTTGCCCAATTACTATTCTGGTGACATCTCAGCTGGAATGATGATAAAAGAATTGACCCAGAACACATGTATGCTTGCAGAGCCAAATGGAGGCCGTGATGCTAACAGTTCAAAAATCTAATACAGATGCTATGGCTTTCTACAACAATTTGGGGTAAAGTCGTAAATTTGCATTTCATGTCAACAACTTATCTGGGGTGCACTGAACGGATGTACCTTCTGGTTGTTGGTTACTTATGGTGTCTCATTCACTTTGATTGCAATATTTTAATTCACTTATTCTGTCTTGCAGATATGTAATATCCAGTACCTCGCCATCACGAGTGGATCCACTGGTATTACTTTACCAAGAAATAGTATCCACAGGAACAAGATATTTGTACGTTGACTCCTTCATTTTCCACAGATTGGAATTCATAGAAGCTATGAGATCTTGTGCAAGGCATTTGAATCTGAAGCCAAGTGCAAATTGGAGGTGTGTAGCATGTTCCATATTGTGTAGATCCACTGTTAACCTAGTAAGGTTACTGATTCCGACCATCTACGTGTCACTGATGTTATGAATTGGTTGTGTGGCTCCTCTTTTGCTTTGCACTAAAGCTTTAATTACTTAGTACTGTCCACATAACCTATGATGTATGAACGTGTAGAGTAGGACTCTGCGTGATCTGCTACTGATTAAATTTGTGCTATATTCAGTAGATGCTCTTCTACTGCATATGTACTTTTTTATCCCAGCTAATGAATGTGCATCACGGTGTAATGTGCAGGAAGGCAAGTAATGCACGGGGGAGCACAACACGACTGTGGTTGCATAACAAGCTCTGGCGGGATGCGACAGCCCATGTTTTTGTGATTTATTTGGAGTAGTACAGGATGTTTGGTTTTATATCTTCAGAGCCAAGGTTTGCCGTACCAAACTTGTGAATATTTGTTCCATTGGCAACTTTGACCATATTTACCTACCATTAATTAGGTTTGATGGCAAAATTTTGGTTTGGTCATGTTTTCTTTGGCTATCTGTTTAATTTCTAGAGCCAAATTTGGTTATGTTATCAATGAGTTTTGTCTGAAACTATTTTGCTGATACACTTTAGGAAACAAGCACGATGGTCCACCACATCTGATGTATATGGGGTAGACTTGGTCGAAGTTAAAGAAGTGAACATCGGACCAGTACACAAGTTGTTTCACGTAGCTAAAGAGATTCACATATAACAAGTTCTCAATTGGTGCATTGCTCAGTTCACGGTGCATCCTAGCGCTTTCTCCTTGGGGCTCTCTTCCCCTTGGCGATCGTCGCGCCGGGGCTCCAGTTGATCTCCCCTTCCTCTAGCTCCCCCTCCTTGTTCTCCTTCTCCCTGGATGTGGCAGAAGCAGCAGCAGCAAGGGCCTGTGACCGTTTGAACCTGAGAATGAGCCTCTTGCGTGGCGGCAGGTCCTCCTCCTTGATATTCTCCGTGTCGTCGTCCACTTTGGCCTTGGCCTTGCTGACGCCATGCTCGCTACGGAGCACCCCGCACCTGGCACACATGTACTTTCTCCACTTGAAGGGGTACTTGGCCTGCTTGAACTCGGTGCAGAAACGCTCGCCCTCCTCTCCTGCAGATATCTTACTCTTGTTGGCGCTGCGCTCACCTTCATCTTCTGCAGAGAGCTTGTACTTGTCAGTGGATTGCTCACCCTTATCTCCTGCAGGGAGCTTGCTCTTGCTGGTGTCGTGCTTGCCCCCATCTCCTGCGGAGAGCTTGCTCTTGCAGGCGTTGTGCTCCTCACGGAGCACCCCACACCTAGCGCACATGTACCTTCTCCACTTGAAGGGGTACTTGGCCTGCTTGAACTCTGTGCAGATGCGGCGGCCCTCATCTCCTACGGAGAGCTTGCTCCGGCGGATCACGACGAGGAGCGGCTTGCCACTGCTTGTCGACATCCTCTCACTCTGTACTCTCTAGATCTAGCCCACACTCTTACTAAATCTCTTTCGAGTCTTACAGATCTGATATTGACGATGACCGTGATCAATCTCCTGACCATTTATAGGGAGCAATTTTTAGGATGCAAATTAATATCGTAGTACAGATTGGCATCGCCAAAGCAAGCAGAAAGTAATTTCAGCATGCATGGGGCAGCACGGTGCCATGAGAACCGTAACGCCTGTGTGTGCACGAGTGTCTTGTGCAAGCGCTTGGCGTCCACTGCTAGTGCCAAAGCAGCACGCCCAGCCCATTGTTTCTTGCGGTGCTGGTGATTGTTTCATATATGCATCCAACAACCAAAGCCACGGCTGATTGCTTTTGCGCTGGCGGTTGTGGTGCATTTCGTCTCTTTAGCTAGAACCCCTCTTGCTGACGCTATGGTGAGTCGAAGAAGTGCCTTTGTTTCTTAAAGCTAGATAGAAAAGGAAATGAGTCTATTTATCTCTGCATCAGGTTTTACAACACAAAGCACACTAGAATTCAGAGGCTGCAAACAAGAGACCTGAACCAGATTCAGAAGGGAGGAGCATAATGTAAATTTGACGGCCAGTGACTAGCATAGTTATATATATATATATATATATATATATTCGTAAAAGGTATAGGAAAAAGAAACAAGCATATGGCCATGCTTATCTAATACTCCACACTATAGTTGGCAAACATTTAGAGTATGCCTAAAAGACCCATACCATGGAAACATGTACCATGTGATAAAAAGTTGTAAGATTAAACTGTTGAGGACCACGGTAGCGATCTTTTTTCTAGTAATAATTAATGGCTGTGGTTTATCTGATATGTTGTAACGCTAGGCTGTAGATAGCAGGCTGGCATGTCTCCCAGTACGAACAATACACTGCTGTGCGTAGTAAATCATTAAGGCCGCACCGAGGGTCAAGATTTGACTCTACTCATAGCAGTTTGGAAACTAATGCATCTGTCTTGTCTGAAGATGGCCGTGATGCATGATTTTGGATTTTGCCGAGCCAATGAATGGATTAAAATGTGGCTTCGAAGTTGCATCATGCATTTGTCAGTTTGCTTCAACCTGTTGTAGGCGCCATCTACTTTCTGAACAGAAGTACTTCAAGTCATTGCTACCAAGTAGGAAAGTAAAAGACAAAAAGGGAAGGTGAAGACATTGAACAAGACAAGAAAAGCACATAAATAAAAGAAGCAATGGCTACTCAGAAATGGGCTATCAAGGACATTTTAGTTGGTTATGTTTTCTTTGCCGCCTGTTCAACTTCTGGAGCCAAATTTCGAGAAAAATCGTAGGAAACAAGTGTGTCATCCGGGGATTGGTGACTTCAATTTTTGGGGTTTCTTTTTGGTGACTTGAAAACTTATGTTCAGTTTCCTGTGCTATTTGGTCTCAAACGAATTTGTCTGAAACTATTATTGCTGATACACTTAAAGGAAACAAACACGATGGTCCACCCCATGGGATAGACTTGGTCAAAGTTAAAAGAAGTGTACCCCATCAGACCAGTACACAAGTTGTTTCACATAGCTAAAAAGATTCACATGTAACAAGTTCTCAATGGTGCATTGCTCAATGCATCCACAAACTTTCTCATTGTTTCACATACCTGAAACACATGTACTTTCTCCAGGATAACTATTGGTTTTACATAACATTTAGTCAAATGATAGTTTCGCAACATAAAACCAACGAGCATGCTGGTGAGTGGTGATAGGCTTGGTTAGTTTCAGACATAGTGGGAAAAGTTATATTATTACTTCCTCTGTAAACTAATATAAGAGCGTTTAGATCACTATTTTAGTATTCTAAACGCTCTTATATTAGTTTACGAGGGAGTACATAGCAACTTGGATGCAACAAAAGAGCCCTTTTCTAGGAGCAAAAGTCTCCTACTAGTAGTTTATATTGATATATTTTTTGTAATATATGACGTGTATTAGGTTGGTCAAATTGACGAACTAGGGGCACGCGCACGTCCTGTAAACTGAGAGAGAGGTAGTAGTTTGATCCAGCATCAATGAGTATAACAGCGAACTGGTAACTGGCTGAACCACAAGAAACATGAAACGAACTATTTATATAAATAACAGTGGATAGTAGCCCATTCATCGGCTGCACGGCGGATAGGGAAGGTTGCCACGTAGCTAAAGTTCTTCTCCTACTCAAGGCGTTCATAGGCACACGTGACACCCAGAGCGCATGACGTTGACTGCTTGCGCACCCGCCGTGCTTACATCATGACATGATCACGAACATGCCGCAAGCGGGTGTAAAGACCGTCAGACGGTTGCACACCCGTCGCGCTGCAATCCGTCATACCGAACATGTGTTCCATAGAACGAGCCTAGGAAAAACATGATTGGGCGTCTAAAGTCTATTCAGAATAGCAGAAATACGGCGCTATGTGTTCTTGTAGTGCTTAATTTGTGTGCCAACTAAGAAGCCGCATCTAGCAGGAACGCCATCTGAAGCTGAATCTAAAGCTGAAAGTATGCCTAGGCGTGGTGTTTGCTATGTTCCTCACGCCTACAAATTCTATGTGGCTACTATGTGCTCCCAATATCGAGACAAAGCTTAAAACTCGCATTAGGTCTTTGTATGATCCTCGTATGGTCAGTCTATATAACTTCTTCACAATATCTTCCTTTTTATAAAGGAGTAAAGGGGAGCAAGTTTGGTTTAATGCAACAACTACTATACTGTTAAAGATAACTTGCACGAGTTTTTTTTTTCTTTGTTACAAAAGCGTAATATATATGATCAGATTGCTATTTTCTCCCTCTTAATGTGGCCAATACTTACAGTGTAGTACATGTTTATCAATGCTTGTATGCAACCTTTCATAAATTCATTTATTATGCTTCCTTGTGATGGTTGCTTGGGGCGGTAGATCTATGAAATATGCAAATTAAGTGTAGCTAGAAGTGAACAATCAGATATTCATAGACTCGCTTGAAATTTTAACGATCACTTTGATTACGTCCCTAGACTAGATTTTTCATTTCCATGTGAAATATTTTCGAGGAGAGTTGGTTAAGCTGATTGGCCAAGTAGGTAATGTGTCACAAATAAATTACGCCTATATATAGGAGAGTGTTAAATCATTTATAATTTGCCAACAAAAGGCCTAAACAGGAAAACCATATCATAGGAACAAGGCCATCAATGTGTTATGAAAAAAGTTGTTGTAATAAGATGACATTGTTGATGATAAGCTCAGTAATATTCTGTTGCTGCGAGTTAGATAGTTGTGTTTATCTGTACGGTGTAACACAAGAATATACTCCCTCTGTTCCAAAATAAGTGACTCAACCTTATTTTGGGACGGAGGGAGTAGTTGCTAGCTTGGTGTTTCCGAACAAAAAATCTGAATCCAAATTGAGCATGTTTACTGGATGGATTGTAATAAGTGTCAGGCATAATTATCTTCTAGTTGCAACGAAACAATAGCCCGGTCATCTAATATGTTCTAACACTAGGCTATAGTCAGAAGCATGGAACTTGCACACCGCAGGAGTACCGAAGCAAAAAAAAAAGATATAAAGCTAAGAACAGAATTTTATCAAATAATGATCGTATAATTGTGCGGTATTTTTTTATGGTTGGTGCTGAGCATATTTTATTATATTCTAGTAATAATTAATGACAACAATGGTCATGATTGTCTAACAATTGTGATGTTATACTATAGTTGGTAGGTTGGCATGTCGCATAGTATGGACAATACTGAAATATCACTTGCACGGTAAACTTGAAAACCACAAACAAGACCGAGACTAT